ATGACACCTTGATATGTGCTTTAGAATGGCTTTGTCTTCGTTCAAACTCAGGACCTCATTTTTATTTCAATTCTGTTTAAAGTAACGTATTATAATTTTACTGGTTCAGAATTTTATTTATTCGGATCCCGCTGATTTTTAATTGCTCCCCCCTTCGATAGACTGTCTCTGGTCAGAAACAACCAATCAGAGCCAGGAGGAATGTCTTAGCTGTGTAACATCGTTTGAGCTCAATCCAAAGCATATTGTAGATGTTTCACCCCTGCCAGTGATTGTGTTGCCGTGCGTCAAGGCAGCCTGCCAGCTTTTAGGTCCAATTTATACAGTTTATCTGCAAAAACCTACTGCTGATTCAGGGTTCAGCTACTCTTTAACGTGTAGTAGAGCTTTCAAATATATATTTATGTTCCTTTATTGTTCTTTTTGTTTTCTAATGTGATGCACTGAGCAGACAAAGCCATTAGTCGAAAGGAGAAGAAATGAGGCACAGTGGGCAGAAGATCCCATGAAACCCTTCAGCTGAAGTGACCAACTACCAAACCTATTAGTTCCAGTGGCTCATATTATTATTTTTATTATTGCTCTGGGAAAAATAAACCATAAAGTCAGTCGCAATAAAAATAATGGAAACACTGATGATAGTGATAAACACCATGTAAGTGCAGCTTTTCAGAGAAATATTGTGGTCTGTTATGTTTGTGATGCTTTCTAGAAGTATGAGCTCAGGGAGAAGGTATGTGGGATGTTAGTCAGAGTTTTTGGGTTTTCTATTTATGAAGAATCCCTTTCTTTGCAGCGATTGGAGAAATGAGAAGTGGATTTATGTCTTTGTTTTGCAGATTTATGCAACTTCACCATGACTGCTAAGCAAACAGAGGGTTGGGTCAAGCAAAATATTTAACTAACTTAGAGAAATGCGGCAGGAAGGCTTAGTAGAGCAAACAGATTTGTTTATGTGGATGAGATAAAACGGGAAGAAACGTCAAATCATCGGCATGAAATGTGATTAGGCAGCAGGAGAAGCCTGGCTAGTTTTCTCTGGTAAGGCCTGGTATAAAGTAGAGTAGAGGCTGGAGGTGTTGCTGATGGAGCTTTGAGCTGATAAGCGTGAGATTTTTCAGACCAGGACCCCAAAATAAGAGATAAACAGGAGCAAGGATGCTGATTCGGGGGAATTAATCTCCTATTTGAAAATATGTCTCAGAATAAGTCATGAATGCTCTCTCAGGAAGCCCATTGCCTGTACGTGTCGTTAACAGTACTTTACGTCCCGCAGGTTTCTCTAGGTAACTACGCTGAGCACGTCGGCGCCCTGGCGGTGGTGTGTGTGGTTCTCTGCCTGAGCTGCATCTTGCTTGTGTGCCTGCCCTGGTTGGCCACTGTGAGGCGCTGTGGAGGAGCGCTGGCGCTCTTTGTCTGGGGGATGCTCTACGTCACCGCCATAGTCTTCATCTTCACTGGGGGGCCTGTGACGGCGTGGGAACAGGTGAGAGGTTGACTGAAACAGACCAAATAGAAAACGGTGGAAGTAATTCCTCCCGTACGGTTCAGGTTTTAACGTTTCCTGTCTTCCTGTGTGGTCAGGTGGCGTTTTTCATCTTCCTCTCTCTGAGCGTTTACACCGTGCTGCCCCTGTCTTTGGCCTGGGCCCTCATAGTTGGCATAGGAACCAGCCTTTCTCACATTATCATCATCAGCGTGTACGTCCCCATCAAGAGTCCAAACACCCCACAACTGGCCGAGCAGGTAAAGCCTCACCGTTTTAACCTACCAACAAAGTTGGTTTTAAATTAAAGGTGCATTATGTGTGAACGACAGTAGATATTTGCAACAATATCAGCCCATCTGAAAGGTGGAACGTGACGTAAAGGTTGGCCCAGGCTGCACAAAAGCATTTTGTTATTAGTGACCATCCTGGTGTACTTCCTGTGGAAAACATGTAAATCATTACAGCTGTAACTGTTTTACCGCTACATCCAAAACCCTCTCATGTGCGCAGTCAGGTAGTTATTTAAATGCCGCTCATTGTGTTGTTTTTTTTAATGTAGGCAAATTCATAGGCTGTTCATACTGTGTTGTGAAAAGGGTGTGCGCTCCGTTCTCAGAGCAAACTAACGAGGGCCTGAACGGCCTGATTTCTGTTTCAGCTGGTGGCCAACGCCGTGCTATTGGTGTGCGCCAACTGCATCGGGGTCTTTCACCTGTGGATGACCGAGAACGACCTCAGGGCATCCAATAAGAAGAGAGAAGAGTTCAGCGCCGTGCGCTCCCAGAAGGATGTGATCAAATACCAGCAGGTTAAAAACAAAACACTGCATTTATGCTCATGCTGCAGTAATTATACAGTATCCTTGTTGCTCTGAATGCTTTTATTTAGCAGGAACAAAGTCCTTCATAGTAGCATCTTGTTTTACCGGCTCTGAGTTTAAAATCGTTATGCGTAATTGGTCTCATTAAAGGGCTCTTTACATGGACAGCCACAGCCTGGTACCTGTGTGCTTTCCTTTGCTATTAGGCCAATAGATTAATCATTCACTCGTCTGAGGCTCAGCAGCAATAGAAAAGGCAAACCCAAATGGCCACCATTCATTGCAGGCAAACAAAGAGACCAAACGCCAACCTACTGGGCAAACACATGGAGCCGTCCGCAGGCTCTGAGCGCATCAGCGTCGTTTCAGAACGACGCCAAAGTCTCACACTTTGACCGTGTTTCCTCCGACACAGGAGGGGCTGCTTCTGTCCGTGTTGCCACGCTACATCGCCGTGGAGCTGAAGAGCGAGGTCATAAAGAAGCTGTCCAAGCCAAAGGACAACGGGGAGAACGAAGGCGGCAACAAACACAACTTTCACAGTCTTTACGTGCGGCAGCACAAGGACGTCAGGTGAGAACGGAGCAGAGACGGGCGGAGGGTCTTTCAAACCCCTCTCCTGTTTGGCTGCAGTCTTACCTCAGTGTTCAAGCACTGGAGCCTTTTCCCATCATCAGATTACAACCACAAACCTCTGTGTTTTTACTGGCATTCAGTGCGGTTGAGCAACAGAAAGTAATGCAGCACTATAAAAGGAAGAGAATGAACTAAAAATTAAAGCCTGTTCTCAACAGAATCCATTAACGGCTATAATATATGTAAACTGTAGGTATAGAATAAAATGGAAAAAGAAGGCTTTAAAATGAGCAGAGCCGCCCAAAATGTTTTCCTTAACAGCCTTTCAGGGAGATAAAGGAACCTGGGTGGCTTTATGATACAATTTACAAAGAAATGAGCCATGACTCAGCACTTAAGTCACAGTAATACAGGGAGGAAACTCACACTTTGTTTAATCGGTTCGTCACTCATCGGACGTATCTAAAATAAAAAAAAGGGACAGCACAGCTACTCCCAGACACATTTCTTCCTTCTGTTTCCCTTATTGAACAGCTGGGTACTTTTTCATGTTTTTACTGAACGAAGAGGAAAAAATGGTGAATATTCTCAGTCATCCAGATCATAGTCATTCTAAAAAAGTTAAAAAAAAAAATAAATCCACTGGACTATGTTTTCCAAGTTTGAAGACGTTTCGCCTCCCATCCAGGAAGTTTTTTCAATTATCTGACCTTTTTATTTTGAAAAAGCTTCCTGGATGGGAAGCGAAACGTCTTCAAACTTGTAAACCATGTCCAGTGGACTGTTTGTTTTTATTTTTAATAAAAATAAAAAAAGTGTTAAGTTAAAAAGGCTACTCAAGTACTGAGTAACTGATCTACTTACTACCCCTGAGCATAACAACTGATTTAATGTTTGTCAAAATGATGTCTAAGTGAACAAAACATGAAGTGATATGCAGATTCTGTTGTCTATCAGAGGAGATAAATTATTAATTAAAAGATTACGCTAGAAAAAAAAACACATAACATACAGTAATTACACAATCATACCTTTAGGTGGAATGAAAACGCTTCAAAATA